CGACGTGTTCCGAGTAGCCAGCGGTGACGGCGAGGTGCGAGTAGCCAACGCGGGCTGAGCGGCGTCAAAACTCCGGCCGCCGTCGACGACCCGCGTGGCTGCAGTTGCCTTCTTGGCGAGTATGGGCCTCACTCCGCAACAGCGATCGTCCGTAGCTGTCATCGATACACGCCATGGGACCCGAAGCACGGCCGACTTTACTGCACCAACGTTCAGCGAGGAGGCGCTCAAACCCAGCTGCTTCTCGTGCTTGTCGCGGATTAGAGGGATTTCATCTTCGATCTTTTTCTGCGGTGACACGCACCGAGCATGGCTTCGATTCCGTCGGGAGCAAGCATCGCGTCGACGCTGCAAGCGGCGGTGCGACCGTCTTTTCATCGGCGTTACACATAAGACACGAAACGGACCAGGAGGGTTGTTGATCTCGACCAACACACACTTCGATGGGCTCCGATGCGTGGTCGCCCAGCAGCTCGCCGGGCCTTCGCCTCCCATCGGGGCGGTCGTCCTTCCGGCCTTTTTCACGGAGACGCGGGACATGATTCGTGCCGCCAACGATCTGGCCATTTACGATACGATAGTGTGTTTAGCTGGATGTAGCTTTACTGCTGCGAACGCTTCGCCGAATACACGATGTTGCACGACGTTGTCTTGATGGCGAGTCGTAAAGAACGACCACTGCTGGCCCTTTATTGAGAGAAAACAAGTCGCAGACAGGGCGCTGAGATATCGCACTTGATAGAGAAACGTGCTTGCGAACCTTGCTCAGTAGCTAGCTCCCAACCAAGGGCTTTCTGGCAAGCGAGGGGTCGCAAGATCAAGAGCTTCTGAGCGCATGGCCTCTTCTATGAGCTGGTTTGCATCCTGGCGAGGAAACATTAGGCCAACCGCGTCAAGGTTGGCTCTGCTCGACATGCGTCCTCTGCGAAGGTCGACCAAAGCTGCTGCGGTCGTTCGCGTCATCTGGCTTGTGGAGCTCGAGAGCGACAAGCTCGATGCATCGGACTAGAGAGTCACATCATCTACAGGGTCTTGATACTTTCGATTGGTGGAAAACACGTGTGTCTTCCGCATCAGGACACACACTCTGGATCATCACTCTCATGTTGCCCTATCAGTAGCTGGCCAGCAGAACCTTTGTCGTCGCCATGTCCTTGGAACCGTACACGACATCCTTCGACGCTGCGGCTGTGCGCGAGCTTCGCAACCTGCTGCCGTGTCGAGTCTTCGTGCTTCCCGACGGACCCCCCGGGAAAGTCTTTGTCTCGCTAACGGCCTCGCACCGCAGCGTGGACCACTTCATCGTTCAGCTCGTGCAGGGTGTGCTCACGCTGCGCACCACGCATGGGCACCTCACAGGCCAAGTGCTCGTTCAAGTACATGTGGACGAGGCGGCGTGGACAGCCACCAAAATCACAAATGCTGGCGGCGGCGATCTCTGCATGGACGGCGTGGCGCGCACAGCGCAAGGAGGCCATTTGTGTCTGGTGCAGGACGGTCGTGGTGGCATCTACATGAAGACGCCTGAGCTGTCACTGACGCGCTTTGCATGCCACGTTAGCGGTGGCGGCGCGATTCAAGTTGACGCCGGCGCACTCGCACTGTGCTCCCTCGACTCGACCGTCTCGGGCCATGGCAACATCGCAGTCTACGCAGAAACCATCAACACGACATATGCAAGCAGCCGCGTGCAAGGCGCCGGCGTCATCAACCTCGGTGCACGAAAAGCGTGGCAGGCGACGTCCGTGCAAGCAACTGTCCAAGGCTCGGGCGTTGTGTGCTTCCGAGGCGAGGGCACCTGCGTCGTCGCCACCGCGACCGTCACGGGCAGCGGGCGCATTCGAACCGACGCGCTGACCGCCCACGAGGTCGATGCTTCAGTGTACGGTTCTGGATTGATTACAACGCAGGCTGTGCACGCGCTGCGCGCCAAGCCCGTCGGTCCCGGTAGCATTTACTACACAAAGATGCCGCCAGAAACGTGCCACGGACTCTGCTCGCACTTGCACAACCCGTCGTCGGTCATCGTACCCGAGGCAGCGCCGCTTCCCGACCGTGTGCCCCACACGATTGATGTCGACACATCAAGCTCGTGGGAGTGCCACGTTATGTGATTCTAATTAGAAAGCGGGGGTTTCCGGGACCCGAACCCGGATCTACCTGGTGGTAAACCAGTGTCAAAACCGCTCGACTAAGAGAAGTCGACTGAAACCTTCCCTTCTTGGCTATTATCGCCACCAACTTTTGACGCTCATTTGGTATTGCAAAGTGCACCTGATCTCTTCTGCATCAATATATGGTTCGCGAAGCAGGACCACACGACTGCGACCAATCGGCTTGACGTGGATGACGATGGTCACAGCTCGTGCTGCCACGTATGAGATCGGATTTTTTTCTGACGTGGCAGTCTAGAATAGCTGCAATGCTATCGCAGCCGTTTCGCTTTAAGATCGCGCGATGCACGAGAAGCACCGCGTGGACTTGGGCGCGCCGTGGCTTGGCTGTTGGCAGTTGCCAGCTCTCACTTGGACAGGCCACGAACAAGCGTTCAGACATGACGTCATTGCGACACGGTACTTCAAGAAGAAGGCACCCAATACATGCAGAGGTGCCACTCGTCGCTCATCATCCCCTCGGAGCGCGATGCGCACCAAGAAAGCCACGCACGACAAGCACGTGTCCGTCCTCCGCCCGTCGTCACAGGAAGCTGGGCAGGCTCCGGCCAATCCGCTGCCGGGAACGACGGTGCCTCGTCCGATGTGCCGCAGCTGCACCGACCAGCGTTCGCGGCTTCGCATCCTCGACTCAGACCCAAGTGTGTTGGTAAGCACCCACATTCTCGCTTCTTATTTTCACAGCCAACACCCTTTCGTTGCTTCTTGGCGCGGGACACTTTGCAAAACTTCAATTCGACGACAATATGAGCGTCCTCACCTACACCTTTGACGCGAGAACAATCCACGAGATCGACAACAACCTGCCTTGCCACGTGTTTGTGAGCCAAGCCGCCGTCGAGACGGACCTCCGCGTGACGGCCACGAGCGCAGGCAACCTTCCCATTGACACCCTGCGCATCGTCCAGCGCAATGCGACGCTCTGCCTCGAGTGGGCGTCACCGATCACGGAACCAATGACGCTTTTGATTGAGATTTTCGCCAGCGCCGACGCGCTCAAGTGCACCAAGTTTGTCAACAGCGGACCCGGTGGCTTGTACGTCGACCACTGGCCGCTCGGGCCGATTGCGGCCGACCTGACGCTGATCCAGAACGGGTCGGGCCGCGTCTGTCTGCGCACCGCGCACGCGTCCGTGGCCACCTTGCGTGCCCAAACCAACGGCAGCGGGCGCGTGCAGTTGGAAGCGGCGTCGCTCGTCGTCGACACCATCGAGTGCGCGACGCACGGCAGCGGCGTGACGCAACTGAGCGTCGGCGCGGTCACGGCCACGTCGGTCGACTGCAGCGTCGCGGGCTCGGGCAGCATTCACA